ATGCCATGCCTTCTGAGGCTGCAGAGACCGCAAGGGCTTCCAGACGACAGGCAAAATCCTGTGGGCCACTCTGCAAGTATTAGGCTTGAGTCCTGAGCATTTCAAAAGCCTTCCAAGACCTCCTGTCTCCTTATAATGAAAGGCACTGCAGAAACCCAAGGTATGATTATCACTTCTGAAAGAAAGAAAAAAATACTGGCTCACAAAATATCAGTACTTGTGCATCCACAGATAAGGCTGTTTTATAATCCAGTTCCCTAGAGAGCCATTTATTTTGGTGAAGCTAGTGTGCATAGCAGACACTGTAAGAAGCCATCAAGATAACGCGAATAACAACCCAGTGGACTTTTGAAGTGTAAACATAAAAGTCTATTACGAATACAACATTGGTTTAATCCCAAGACAAAAAATTTACTTAATGAAAAGCACAACTCATCTCAAGAAGGAAATATCGATACCAGCTGTGAGCAGAAAATGAGGGGATTCCTTCCAGGGAACATCTGAATTTCAACCCACTGCCTTTCCAATATTTACTCTGGACATAAAGTCTCAAATACTTTTCCGAGGATCTCATTTTTCTACAGGAGGAGGAGGTCAGAGAGAATTCTGAGTAGGGCTAAAAGAGAGCTTGGCAGAGCCTAGAAATGCACAGACCCGCTCCAGTTTTACCCTGAAAAACCTGCTTCCCTTCTCTGGGTGGAACATGGAACAGCCTCCTTGCTTCAAGATTCCTGCCCAACAGGTAAGAATGAGGACTGTAGGAGATAAGCTCCCCTTGCTCAGACATGGCAGGACCCCAGCAGAGACCCTCACTCCAGCTGCTAGGGCCAGTAGAGAGCAATGACAGCCTTATGCTGCTGACTCCTATAGACTGTACCACACCAGCCACAGGACATACCACTCCCCATCAAACTCCTCAGTCAACAATACTTTCAGCCACTGCCTTGATTTTTTTCAGTATGTTCCAATGAGCACACAAGGGTAAAAAGAGAAGACCTTCTCAAAGAGGGGTTTTAAGAGCCAGGTACAGTAGCTCACACCTGTAATCCTAGCACTTTGGGACACCAAGGTGGGCAGATTGCTTGAGGTAGGGAGTTTGAGACCAACCTGAGCAAGAGTGAGGGCCCATTTCTACCAGAAATAGAAAAATTAGCCAGGCATGGTGATGTGCACCTACAGTCCCAGCTACTTGGGAGACTGAGGCAGGAGGATTTCTTGAGCCCAGGAAGTTGAGGCTGCTGTAAGCTATGATGATGTCACTGCACTCTAGCCAGGGGGACAGAGGGAGACCCTATCTCAAAAAATAATACTAATAAAATAAAATAAAGAGGAGTTTTTATTACCAACTCTGCTTTACCATATTTAAGAGAAATCACAGGCCCTGGAATAGAGAAAGACTTGGATATTAGCAACACTTGGAGATACTTAGAACCCACAGGGAATTATTTAAATCTCCTTCACTCATAGTCATAACTCCCACCTCCCACCAGGCCTGATGGCTAAGATAAAGGAAAATCTCTTATACAACTTCATACGTAGGTATGTATGTATCTAATCTAATCTAATGCAACACAACTAAAGAACCACCTCCAGTTCTAGCAAGTAACAGGTTGTTCCAGCTTTTCTCCTATCCATGAATTCATTCATTCATTCATTCATTCATCCATTCTTACATCCATCCATCCCTTCATTCCATGAGAGGTAGCTCAGTGGATGCAATAAAACAAGGCACACACATCAAGCGCAAGTCCCACCTTCACTACCTACTAGCTATGCAGTGTTGAGTAAACTATTTAACGTCTCTAGGCCACTGTTTCCTCATCTCTAAAATAAGGACAATTAATAGTACCTATTACTAGCATAGTCACAACGATTAAAATGACTAAGTTAACAGGAGTGCTTGGCAAAGAATAAGTCCTCAAGGGTTAAATCATAATGACAATAATTATAATGATCACTATGACTATTAAAAACATTCACTCATCTGTAGTTATGTGCCAGGCTCTGGAGTAGGCAGCAAACAATTTTGGGCTTCCAACTCTGCAAGGGCCTTTAGTGGGGCACTGGATTCCTTATGGTAACACCCCCCCGCCAATATAAACTCCCTTTCTTGCCAAGAAGAGGGTGGACCCAGGCACCCAAGATTGAATACCCCCCCACCCCTACAAAGCCATGTTTAAACAATTATAAGCATCATGTTGCAGGTACCTATGACCATAGTCAAGGCCGGCCCAGCACAGTGCTCATCTTGCAGAGACTTCTTTTGTATGGGTTTTGTGTTACAGCGGGGCAATGCAAAGCCACAGAGTGAGCCACAAAACAAGTTTTCATAAGCCAGACCTGTCACAAGCCACACAGGGGCTGTGCTGACATCCCCACAGTAAGATTAAACAGCATGCTTCGTCAGGCACTAAATACTAACACAGCTCCGACGTCAGGGGGACACTGATTAAAACTGATGTCAATAATTTATGAAACACAATATGGTCTTCAGATGCTCTTTTGAACATAAGGAAGGGGGGAGAAAGAACCTAGCAACCCAGGTGGTTTAAACTCTTCATGCATTTTCCCTTGAATGTACATACACCCCTACCATGCACGGGTGCTTCTGTACAAGATAAATGTAAATGCACATGTGTACAAAAGCATGTGAATGCTGCTGATACATATGGACGGAAGAAAGTATTTAGTTATTCCACTGAGAGCTGTTGAGGCTGTAACATTATACGAAGTCTTGTCTTTCGCATTGTTTTGAGGTGTCCCCCCAACAAAGAAATCCAAAATTGCATTTAAAATAAAATTGGGCTTTACTAACGTTCACATTTGTTATGTGGAGAAAAAATGTGACCTTGAAACACCACCAAAAAGAAAGGTGTTAATAGATAAAGCATATAGGATACCTGCATTCCTTAGAAATCCGTAAGGACCTCGGCCTCCATGCAGAAGGACTATTCAGACAAATGATAAAATCAACATATTTTTAATCTTAGGGTTTTCGGGAGGGGGCAGAAATTAACCTAGGAAGGCTGCCACTTTAATCTATTATAATCATGTCTCATTATTTAATAAAAACCAGAATGGCACAGTAATTGCCCATTTTTCTCAAGACTGATGTTTTAAATAAATATATACATACACTTCTTTACTTTGCCTTAGTTGCAAATACTCTAGGTAGCCTGACTTTGTATGTCAATAGTGTGAAATTCATAAGAGGGGATTACGTTGGGGGAAAAATCTGCACCTCTGATAGTACAAAGTTAGCATCTGAAGGATTTATTAACGCTTTTTCCTAGCACAGTGCCCTTTAGTATCTCAGAACACCTGTCAAATACTAATTCATTCACATATCTCCACTTCAGGGCCTTTTCATAAAAAGCTCGACCTTTACTTGTAAATCACTCCTAAATTGTCCTTGCTGGCTTTCTCTTTTACAGAATGATGGAAAAATCACTAAGACTTCAATTAAGACTTTATGGGAACTTCAATCTGATGTTCCCACTGTATCTATGAGATATCAGAACATCTATTCAAAAAGGAAACTATAAATAACTTTAACATAGTTGAATTGGCTTTGCTTTTATGAGATGACTGAATAATTTGCAAGATACTTTAACTACTGGGAATTAAAATAACTTCACTAAAAACCAGAAAAATATTGTTAGCCGATCATTTGTCATGTAGATTATGTACTTATTAGGCCTAATTAAACTTTTTGAACAAAAACGCTTACTAATTACATTAGTTAATATGTTGATTGCTCAATTTGGCCAAAAAAGAAAAAAAAGGTCAATCCAATTTGTGTGCATAGTTAGCGCTTTGGTCAAAAGACAAAATCCTAAACCATAGCAATTATTTCAAGTGCATGACAATTGTTATAACAAATGCAAGTTAAATCTCCACATCCAAAGTGACAGGAAGACCTGGGGATGGGTGATGAATCTTAACAATAGCAACACTAAGACGAATCCTCAGGCTAGCAAAATTTTATCACAACATCAATGTATTCACTTGCATTTGTCCAATTAGACTCTGCTATTGACAATACAAAGTCATCTTTCATATGCACATACAAACTAAAACTGATAGCAAAACCCTGGGAAGCCCTTTAAATGTCAATAAAGGGCTTTTACGCACAAAAGGAAGAAAAGAAAAGAGGAAGGAGGGGGAAGAGAAGAGATGGGAAAAACCAACATTTCTGAGGGAATTGAGCAGATCAAAGGAATTTTATTCTCAAAGACCACTAAATTGGACTATAACGACTCACTCTCTCTTTCTCTCTCTCTGAAATCTTGAAAAGTGCCTTCAGACTTGAAACCAGTTCTGTCCCTTACACGAGGGGGATGAACAATTAGGTCTGCAAAAGCGGGACATGAGTGTAAAAATGGAGGCACAGGCGTCTGCAGCTCAGGACGCCTGGCTGGGCCTCTTTGCCTACCCAGCCCTCCAAGACATGTTTTCCATTCGCTTGCTCAAAAGTCTGCATCCACAGTCATGAGGCACAAACTATTCGACAACAACGTGACACAATTAATCAGAACCAGACCTAAAAACGTGTGTTTGTGGGGACCAGCAAACTTTGCAATGTGCCTCAGAGAGTGAAGCAACTGAAGAGACTCACACAGTTTGGAATTGGGGGGAGGGGGAGGAAAACTACATGCTCACAAAAGATGCACACCAAATGGAACATTTACAGACCAAATAATTTTCATTAAAATACAGTGTACATGTAGGACTTGGAAATTTATGTCTCATACTGAAAAAGTAAGGTATTGTCTTACTACCTCCACCTCCCTGGGGGAGAAACCGATGTTTGAGAGTTTCTCCAGCAGCAAAATCCTGCAATTCAGAAGGAGAACGTATCCTTTTTTTTAGACTCATTTCTGACCCAGCCGTATTCACCAGTGCACGGTTTTGTCAGATTTCTCTTTCAGGAATTGAAACCCCATTAAAAAGCGAGAAGAAGCTGGGCCCTTAGTTAATTCAAAACTGTTTAATTTCACCAAACCCTGAAGCTAACAAAAAAACCTGGTATACTTTTTTAGATCAGGATTGAATTAGTTTAAAATAATTACTGAACTCTCCTTTGTAATCTGTAGATAGTAATTAATTGAAATCACATCACTCTTCTTTTGCTAACACAAACACGCTGTTCAAAAGAGAAAAAAAAAACTTTTTTTCAAACCATAAAAAGACAAATGGAGAGCGCAGAAGCAACATTCGTCGGGTACTAAACTAGCCCCAAACTGCAAATAGTTCTTTGCCATCTCCCAAGGGATTGGGGTTGTGAAGCTGGAACTTCCCAGGAACTGAGCTGGGGTCCCCAACTGCGCGCCCAGCTGCAGCCTTAGGAAGGGGGGTGGAGCGGAGGTGAATCACAAGGTCCAGTCAAACTGAAGGGAAGAAAATGAATGTGTTTGCATCAGGGTTAGGGAAACCCTCTCCACGAATTTTCTGCAAAACCCCCTCCCAACAGCATATTCTCCCGCGGCTTCTTGCCTCTGCAGAGAGCACTGGGTGCAAACCTGTGCATTCACAACGAGCGCCACGCAAGCTAGTGGACCTGCTCTCAGCCCTCCCCGGTCCTGGGCATCCCGGAACGCGCCTCCCACTGTTCCCACCACATCCCAGCAGCGGGCTATCCTCGGGTGCCACCGCCGCCGCCCGCGTCCCGGTCTGCCGCCGGCTTCGCCTCCGCACCCCACTCACCCACGCACTCGTTGGCCTCGCGGGCCGTGGCGCGTTGCCAGGGTCGGTCGTAGTGGAAGGGTTTGCAGCGGTCGCATTCCGGGCCGGCAGTGTTGTGCCTGCAGTCGCACACCAGGCTGTCGTCGCGGTCGCGCACGCAGCGAGCCGCGTGGCCGTTGCACTTGCAGCGGCCGCCCACCTGCAGGTCGGACACCGCGTAAAAGTACGAGTCTCGCGCCAGCTCCGAGTCGTCCTCGTTCTCGTCGCCGAACGTGTGCAAGCGGCTAAAGGCCACACGGATGTCAGTGGCCGTGACCCAGTCCTGCAGCACTGGCGAGTTGTCGAAGTCGTGCGCCGAGGGCCGCCCGTCCAGAGTGCTGAAGGCAATGAGGCCGCCCGAAAGCGGGCGCATGTCGGTGTGAGAGTCGGTGCACACGGCCTCCTGCTCGTTCTGCTTGGTGATGGGCGCGCGGTGTGGCCTGTTGTACATCTTGCGGCACTGCGTGGAGTAGAACTGGAAGGGGACCCACGTGCGCCCGTAGTCCATGGACTTGTAGATGGCCATGGACTCTGGCCGTGGTGAGCAGAACTGCAGGCTCACGTAGGTCACCTCGAACTTCTTGCCGAGCGACAGTGTGAGTGTGACGTTATGTGGGAATTGCAGGTAATTCTCCGACTGCCAGCACGTCAAGTTGTGCGGGTTGTTGAGGTCGGTGAGGAAGGCGGGCGGGTGCGCCTTCTTGGGGTCCGACGCGTTGCAGAGATGGCACGAGCGCAGCCGCTCTTCGCCGCGCTCGCTCACCACGCAGTAGCGCGCCGGCGGCCGGCCGCAGGTGCTGGACACGCGCACGTCCTTGCCGAAGGCTGCATTGACAAAGTCCGGGATGCAGCGGCGCGGGTGGCTGTTCTCGTCCGAACAGGGGTCGGGCTGAGCCGCCTGGCCTGCAAACATGCTCAGCCCCGGCCCGCCGCGCACCGCGCCCACCAGGCACGCCACTGCCGCCAGCGCCGCCAGCGCCTCCCACACTGCGCGCATCATGCTGCGTCCAGCTTGCCCCAGCCCCGCCGCGCCGAGGAGTCGGTCCGCCTGCCGCAGAAGGCGCCTGTGGAGAGAAGGGAGCTTCGCTCAGCTAGCCCGCCCGCGCCCTCCAGCCCTCGGCGGGGTGGCTAGCCGGGACGCGGGCGAACCTCCACACCAAACTGGCGACCGATTGCCCGCCTCGCTCCCCCATAGCCCCCGGGCAAGCGAATCGAGGGCCTCCAAGCCCGCACCGCCCGCACCTCTTCCTCCCCGCAGGGCGGCGCGCCGGGGCGGCGGGAGAACGCTCGGCTTCGCAGCCGCCTCCACGCCACCCGGGGGCCGTTCCCGTGCCCGTCTGCCCGTCCGCAGCCACCTCGCCTCGCACCCCAAGTCTCCGGTGCTGGAGAGCTCGGGGACCCCCAACCCTGCATGGCTCGCGCCCCTTCCTCCCGCAGCCTAGGGTCCCTCTCAGCTGCTCCCGATTGCTTCCCTGCCGTAAAGTCCGTGCTCGGGACTTTACCTCTGGAGAGGGCAAAAGAGAAAGAAAAGTTTGCCTGGCCCCGCCGGGAGCCCGCGCGCCGAACGGCAGAGAGCCTCTCGCTCGCTGCTAACAGGCGCGTCCCGCCTCAGCGCGGGCTTGCCAGCTCCATGCCCGAAGCGGCCGCCGCTGCCCCAGCCCCGGCCCCGGCCCCGGCCCGGCCGCCACTGCCTCTCTTGCCCCAGTGACTACGCGGCCGCTCGGCTCCCGCGGCTCCTGCTGCGGTCGGAGTGCTGCCCTGCCCGTGCCCGGGGCGCACACACATACTCACGCTCGCTGGCGCGCTCTCACACACGCACGCACGCCCCCGAAGGCTCCGCCGCCGCCGCCGCCGCCACTCGCGCTGGGAGTGGGGGGCGGAGGGGACCGCGGGGGCGGGGGGCGGGGCCGCCGGGCGGGGCTCGGGCCAATAACGTCGGCGAGCTGCAGGCAGCTCGCTAGCAAAGTTTTAACCCCGGGAAAGAAGAAAGTTAAAGGGAACCGGCCCGGTACGCGAGAGAGGGAGAGCGCGAGCGGGTGAGAACCGGGGAGCCCAAGAAGGAGCAGCAGAGACAAAGAGAAAGCGAGAAGAGCGCCCGGGGAAACCCCGGAGAGGGGGCTGGGCCGGGCGCGCACCCCGTAGGGGGAGGAGGGGCCGGCCGGGGACTGTCAGCCTCGCCCGGGCCCCGCGCTGCCCGGAGAGCCCCGCGCCCCGGGTAGCGCGCGGGCTGGGGGAGGGGACAATTTTTCTCCCTCCTGGTCCCAGCCACACACATCTGTGTTTGTTTTCTTTGCTGCAGAGGTCCAGGCCTTCCTCAAACCCAGCCTGATGGCTCTGGTGGCACCGTGCACCCTGTGGGCATGCACCCCGGGGCGTGAGGAAGAGAAGGATGTGACCTCTGCCTGCTCCTCACTCCTGCTCTAAGGCCCTATGGGCTGGCGAGGAGGGGTTGCTCGCTCGCACACCCACGGTTGTTACTGTACATGGGCCTGTTTGGGAACACGTCTTTCTGGCCCCGGGAGCTATGGTAGGCAGGAGGCTGAAGAGGTAAGAAGCTGAGCAGCACTGGGTAACTGACCACTGCCCCTGGAAGACCGGCCTCATGGGGCTGAGGCCCGGCGTGGTCCTCCACAGATCCCCTGAAACAGGTTATTGTTACTTCCTACCCCACATTTTTAAGAATTCAACACCTTATACCAGCTCATGGGACCTCCACAATGGTTTTGCTAAGAAGATATTAACTCCATTTTGCAGATGAAAAAACTGAGGTCTGAGGAGGCAAAGAAGAAACTTGCCTAATATCTCCCTGCTAGTAAATTCAAATGTGGGACTAGAAACCTGGGCTCCGCCCACTCCATCGTATTTGCCAAGTGGATAACCCTACTGAGTTATGATCTCGTGGGGCATCCTTGGGGCCACCTTCTCCCTACCTCATTCTCTGTCAACTTAACAAAAACTCTAAGGATGATGACAGCATTCTTTAGACATCTCGAAACTTAAGCCAAAGAGCTTTGGGAAAAGAATCTACTGAGCTGAGAGTATGAAACCAAATTTCTGTTGGTTTGTTTGTTACTTTTAGATGTGTGGTCTAATAATAGATTTAGATGAAAAGCCCCAGGTCCTGGTTCTGGCCCAGCAGATGCCTTGCTGCATTAGCTCCATTAAGTGCCTCATTTTGTCTTATTAGCACTTTCATAAACCCTGAGACTCTAAGAAGGGGCCTCAGGGCTTGTCTGGCCCAGCTCAGTCTCCTTGGATGAAGGCCTTCTCCAGCCTTCCTGAGAGACAGCCACCCAAGCCAGCTCTTCCAGGGATGGGAGTTCACCACAGCCCAAGGATATAAATCCATTTCATTGCAGGACAGCCTGGCTTCTTCTCCCCTGGGGTAGCACATTAATTTTGCCTTCTCATGGTATTTACCACTCTCTTGACTGTTTATCTATGCCTTGCCTTGTGGCAGAATGGATTTCAGGTGACTTACAAGGGCACTTAAAATATGGCAAAATAATATAAATGAAAAGAGAGAAAATAAAGGAAATGTTTAGCCATTCGGGCCTGTGAAACTCTGATGGTATACTGAAAGGCAGTGTAGCTCTTAGGAGGACATGTTTTGGAGCCAGAGTATGTGTGTTGAAATTCTGTCTCTGTTCTGTGACTCTGGCAAGTCTTTGAGTCTTTCTGTGCTTTGGTTTCCTCATCTGTGTAAGGGAGATAATACTGTCTACCTCATAGCCTTGTGATCATCAGATGAATTGATGCAAGAATATTGTAGTATATGTTATAATGCATATTATATATACACATGACTATACTTTCACATATATATATGTAAATATACAGCCATTCACATAGCAAGAGGGTATAGAAACATTAGCTGTTAGTAATAGATTGCTGGAGCTATACAGAACATAAATGTATATGTTTATGACATTATAAAATGAAAAAGCAAATTAAAAGCAACAGTATATACACAATATAATCTCATTTTTATCTCTGAAAAGTATGCAGAAAAAGATAACACTGTGAATAGTGGTTATCTCTGGATAGTGAGATTATAGGTGATTTTTATGTATCTTTGCTTGTATGTTCTCAGTTTTGCACACTAAACAAGAAGGAAAGCTAGGAAAAGAAAGAAAGTCCAAGAAAGAAGACCAAGTAGAGATGAGAAAGAAGGCCACAATGCACCCTGGAATGCCCTATTCACCTCCTGTGGGTGGGCCACAGATTTGTCCCTAAGTGTTCCCGCAGCCAAGATGAAAAGGAGACTATGTCCGTTACACAATTCCCAGTGTCCATGAGATAAAAACAGACCTATTGCTCAAGAGAATTACAACTATTCTCGGTACTAAAATCAGACAGGAATTTCTCCTGGGGGGCCTCAGAAAAGGAACACAGTGTGAGGTAATGGGCAAACATCCCTGACAACATCACTATAATTAATAGTCACAACAGTGAGCTCTATGTGGCCCTCAATATAAGCTGAAGGCATCCCACAGAAAGTCAGGAAAAGCTACTCTGGCCAGGAGGGGTCTAAGAAAGGCAAAGTGAGGTGTTCAGCGGTTGCTCTCCCCCACCCCACGTGGGTATATTTTGGACTATCTACAAGACTGGAATGCCGAGCACTTTCCAAGCCTCCTCCTGCTATGTTGTTTCTGTCCACGGCGTTTCTGATGGATCTTGTGTGGCAGCAAGTTTAAAATTGCCCTCCCTGGAGTGCACTTGTCTACAATACCCCCTGAACTTAGGCCAGTGGTCTTTGGGAAGGGATAAGGGGAACACTTACCAGTTTTATTGTGGTCCCTTAGGTTTAAGTGTGGCATCTAGTAGTTGGAAGGACTATCTCATTTGCCTTGTCCAGAAGCCTTTTGTAATACAGTAGAATTTCTCAACCCACCTCTGTGTTATTTCTACAGCCCTACACAACAGCCCAGATGGAGGCTGCCCATTTCAAATTTGTGAAATCAGTCTTCTCTCATCCCTCAGTTTTATCTCTTCTAGATAAAATGTTCCCAGTTCTTTTATTGATTTCTCATCAGACACTGTTTTCTGACCACTCTGTAGCTTCTCCCAATGCCCTCTAATTTATCAGTGTCCCTTCCTAATGCAGGCTGCCTTTTGAGGGAGCAAATGAAAAAAACAGGTGTCCAAATGTTGTGAGAGCTTCTTGAAGTGGGGGTTAGAAATACACACCCGTGAAGGCATGTCAGGCCCTGAGCAGTAGCCTCCATGGTGCAACCCAGACTTCAGAATACAGCTGTGTGGCTTGGCGCCCATAGCACAGTGGTTATGGCACCAGCCACATGCACTGAGGCTGGCAGGTTTGAACCCAGCCCAAGCCAGCTAAACAATGACAACTGCAACAAAAAAATAGCTAGGCATTATGATGGACACTTGTAGTCCCAGCTACCTGGGAGGCTGAGGCAAGAGAATCACTTAAGCCCAAGAGTTTGAAGTTGCTGTGAGCTGTGACACCACAGCACTCTACCAAGGGCAACATAATGAGGCTCTCACTCAACACAACAACAACAACAACAACACACAACTGTGCCGCTCTTGGGTAGGGAAGCAAATTCCCAGGTTGTCTTCGAAAGAGGAAACACCAGTCTTGGCATACAACCTTACCTGTGAATTCTGACAGATCACCTTAGGAAGGGGAACATGTGGTAGTTTCAGGAAAACTTAGAAGTGCCCACTGTAGGAGAAGGGAAACCAAGAGACTCAGGTGTCATAGAAACCAATGGGCAAGAGCTGTTGCAAGGAAGGGGGCAGGGCAGTGAACAGTGTCACATGCCTTTAAGGTCAAGATAAGATCTGAAACAAGTCCTTTGGATCAAACTACAAGGAAGTTATTGGTGACCTTGACTAGCCCTTGTAGAGGAGTGGTAGGGACAGAAGCCAGACTGCCTCAGAGTGAATGAGAGGTGAGAAAGTGAAGATAGCAAGTGTAGACAACTTGCAAGAAGTGTGAATACAAGTGGTAGGAAAGAGATAGGGCATAGCAGGAAGGTGACACAGGATGGGGGGAAGGTTGGGATTTTTTATTGTTGTTTATAAGATAAGGCTATTTGAACATGCCTAAGTGTTGATAGGAAGGAGCCAGCAGGAGGAGAGAAATTGAAGACAGATAAAACCACCCTTGTTAAATTGGCAGTCTCTTATTTCAATGAAATAGGAAGTGAGTGACACTATGTGCTGAGAGTGGGGGGCGGAGCTGGGAGCATTGGAGGTTTGAGGTCATTAATGGAGAAGAGGATAATGCTTGCTGGGCAAAAGTAAAGGCCCTGTTGAGGCTGGTGACCATCTATAAGAAAGAATGGCAGCTGGCAGCTGACCTTAAAGGCAAGGTCATAGGACACACACACTCCTTTCCCCAGCAAGTAGCCCTAGAGATAAAGACCACTGGATTCATCTAGAGTTGGTATTTTCCAGTAGGTGGGACAGAAGGCAAGAGGAAAGGGTGGCTGAGGTGCACCAGGGAGACAATGCCAAAGAGAGAAGGAAGACAGGACAGGGATGGAAGAGGACAGAGAAAGACCAGAGGTCTAGAGCTGTGTGATAGCCACAAATAGCTATTATATTTCAATTTCAGTTTAAATTA